GTTGCCAGTTGGACTATGGCTCGAAAATTCCAGTGTTTCAGAGAACATATGTCAGAGAATAAATACTATTTGACGTATAAAACTGTTTGGATCATGATATTAATGAGGCCAATTTGAGACCAAGATGAGTACCCCTGCTGAAGCCACGGTTCTGAGCCCATTTGGCCCATGCTTTAAAATGTCCCTCCAATTTCTTTTACTTCAGTTCACAACATCCTGCACCATTTGAATCAGAAAATTCTGTTACTATTATATCAGGGTTGCCCAAATGAAAAGTACACAAGTTGAATAAAAAGAATACCTTCATTGGAATTTAAAATAAATCGCCTTGGGCGTAGTCACACAAACACCATTGCTTCGACAGTAGGTCTATGTCTTCGCTGTAGACAGTTCGAGGTTGATTTTCGAGGAAGACCTGCATAGCTTCTTTCACCTCATCGTTGGAACGGAAACGCAGTGATCTCCCACGTGGGAAAAGGAGTGGAAGGTTTCAAGGACAAAAATCAGGACTGTACGATGGGTGTTCCAACACTTTTCAATGAAATATTTTTTACGTTATCTGGGTCTCAAGAGACACGTTTGAGCGGAGATCTGGTATTGTTTTCCACCCTTCACGTAAACTTTTGCGCCAAATGTTCTAACTAAGCAGTGCTCACCATAGACTGACCCCATTCACTGATAATTGCCCGCATTTAGCTCACCATTCGTAATAAGAAACCGTACTACCGCGCATTGCTCCGATATGGACACATCCATGAATAACACGATTTTACTTTTGATCTATTGATTGTAGGGTAGCTGCTGAGCAGATTTCTGGCAAAGGTTGTCTTCCAGTGGGTGCCTTATTGTGGTCTTTGGGGAAATAAAATAGTGAACCTTTTAGCAAAAAGAGTCTCGTTTTTTCTTCAAAGATCTACTAGAAACCTGCCTCTTCACTCAGCAAAACTTGAAATTAATAGGATTTATAAAAATTACTTTCGAGATGTTGCTACCAGTGCTGCCAAAAATAAATCACGGAAGGTGCTATTAAAACCTAACTGTGTCTGGGACTCTTCTCGTGCTGCTGCTGTGGCTGAGTTTAGATTATTGACTGGACATGGCTGCCTTTGTGCTCATTTATATTGTTTTACTCTGACTGACTCCTCTTTTTGTGTGATTCTGGACAAGTCATGGATGCTTCTCATTTAGACTTCTGCACTAAGAGGTCTCAGGGGTGTGTTAAATTTCTCTAGAGGTCTGAAAATATAAACAATTTTCAAAAAGGTATAATTCTTTTAAATTTAAATTAAGTAATTCGAATCTTTTATACATTATTTATAAAGGAATGGGGCTTTAGAAAAATATAAAATGTTTAAAATATAATCATAATTTCAAAAATTATAAGCATGTGAAAATAAGAAACTTTTCTATAAGAAATGTCTATTAAATTTTACGTCGCGCATGCTATTTTCTGAAACAGTAGCTTTAATTACTAGCTATAAGTTGATTTATAAAGTTAACTGTATTCTTATTACACTGTAGCTATTTTTATATAAATAGAATAATAACTTACATATTTTAATAAATAAAAAATACATTTTTAAAAAATATTTTAAAAATTGCAATATTTTACAAATATTTTGAAATACAAAAGATGTATAACACTAAAATTAGGTAGGGTTTAAAGAATATGATGCATTTTATAATTCTATAAAGTTTTAGAAAATAGCGTGAGCAACGCAAAAAATACTTAATATTTGTTATAGAATTTTCATATGCTTATGATTTTTAAAACTATTATTATATTTTAAACATTTTACACTTTTCTCAAGCCCCATTCTTTTATAAATAATGTGTAAAAGATTCGAATAATTTAATTTAAATTTAAAAGAATTATATCTGTTTGAAAATTGTTTATATTTTCAGACCTCTAGAGAAATTTGACACCTCTGAGACCCCTTTTTAAAAGAGTTTAGACTGTATTGGAAAGAAATATAGGAGAGAGCTCGCTGCCTAATGACCTGATGATCAATGGCCAGGCATTTGATGAATAAATAAAAACTTTTGATATTTTTCTTCTACTAAGAATAGGTTTCATCATTCCACGTCGTAGGAGGTTTACACTTCCTACCTCCCTCTATATACGTGTTCGGTAGCGCTGCGATAACTGCAATCATTTTGACACAATTACACGTGTTCACTTTTCATTTGGGTAACCCTTGTAATTAAAAAATACGTACAGTGGGTGATCGGTTAACGAACATAATCCGTTCCAAGACTATGTTCGCTATCCGAATTGTTCGTTAACCGATCATCGATTCACCATAGATTTCTATGTGAAGTCGATTAATTCGTTCTGGAGACCCTAAAAATTAAATTTTAAAAAAATTTATAATTTCTTAGTAAGTTTTTTGAAAAACAATACATACATATATAGTCTTGCATACTAATCAGTCCTTTTCATTTTTTGCTCACGGGTCGTTGAAGAACATGTCCAATGTCGATTGCTTTTCTCTCTTTTTCAGGGATTTTCGGAAAGTAATTAATAGCATTGTCGTTGTAAAGATCTCCAACCCTACTGACAGCTTGGTTTGTGTGCCATTCTTAGACCATTGCTCTGACAGCCTTCCACTTTTTTCAAAATATCTTTAATGGTAGATGTCGGCATTGGTCCTCTTGTTCAGAAGGAGACATTTCGCTGCGTTTCTTGGTGTTCTTCATTCAAAATTTCTTGGAGCTCTTCTGTCGTCAGTTCATCTCCATGTCCCATTATGAGCTCTTCTATGCCATCCTCGTTCACCTCCAATTTCAGATCTTTAGCAGTTGTCAAAATTTCATCCATAATTTCAAGGGTGTCTCTCTGATCACCTCCGAATATGTGTTCGTTGTCCAAACACAAAAAATCTTTCTTCAAAGTGTTCGTTATCCGAACATAAAAATCTTTCGTGAAAGTGTTAACCGATCTGTTCGTTAACCGATCACCCACTGTATAATCTTTTTAAAATCCCTTTACCCATCTACCAGATGAAGTGTTGCTCTTCAATATTAGATTATCATGTACTTGCTTCTTCCTCTGAATTTAATTCCTCCTAATAGCATTAGTCTCAATAACAAATTTCTCATTATGCTTATACTTTCACAGGATACGTACCTCGAAACAGACGCACAATCGTTCCCTTAATTATAACGGGGCGAATCTTTCCATCCCGTCCAAGGATTAGCTCAATAACCATTGCTAATTGTTGAAATAAATATTCTCTGTTTTCCTCCTCGCTCAAAACTCCCTTTCTAATTTCAGGCTGTAACGCGTTCTCCCCGCGCCCTTCAACTAATCCTCTTGGGGAAACATTTCCAACAAATTGCTTGATTTGATAATTTCTTTCTATAAAGGAACCGTGTTTCATGTAAAGGAAAACTACTCTTTAAAGCTAACTGAATGGATTATGTGAACTACTATGAAAGGTAAGCGAAGCATTCAATAACTACTTTACTTTTTAAAAAAATATTGCGTATGCATATTAGTTATAAAAATGCCCCCTTTTCAATTCATACTACTTGTTCACTCTCTTTCTATATATATATATATATATAGAGAGAGAGAGAGAGAGAGAGAGAAATTCTTATATATAATATATAGAGAGAATGAAAGAGTAATTCTTAGAATGAGACAGGAGAAATGCAACGTGCAGCCCTTTATCATATTATATTTATTGTTAATGTTCAGCAAAGCAGTCTGTACTCCAAGCCATGATAAAACGAGTCCTATTTCAGCGTCGATCAGGAGCCAGTGCTTTGTTCGTTCACATGGTCTGCGTAAGTCCGTCGAAGTCACAGTACTTATGCGGGAGGTGGGTTGAGTTGTGCTGATAGGAGGCTTATCCCAACTGACACTTGAAGGATTGAGGATTCGCATATATATATATATATATATATATATATATATATATATATATATATATATATATATATATATATGTATATATATAAATATACAGTAGAGCGTTGTTTATTCGAATCAATTGGGGTCGGACATCGCTCGCTTACGTGATTATTAACCGAATGCAATCCATGCTGTATATGAAACTGGACACTATACGAATATTGAAAATCATCACATGCGGGAAACGTGCTTGAAGAAAAAGCGAAATAGGTGCAAAATGTCGGAATTTTACCTTTATTGAGGAAAATAAGCACTTATTTGTGTGTGTGTGTTGTATCGCTGGCTGGTGTTGGTCAAAATTTTCGCTTTTTATACCCGGCAGTGAAGACCGCAGGACTATTCTGTAATAAGAGCTCTGATTGGTTAAAATGGGTGGGAAAGGGATTTCGGATACTAGTTGATTACGATTAAGATTAGGGCGTTAATTTCGAACCAAAGAATTAAAGCTTGTTTAAATATTACTAAAAGAGTTAATTAAAAGGATGCTAGAGGGAACTATTACCATTACAGATTAAAATATTGGTAATTATTATTTATATATATCTATATCTTGTTCCCAAATTTTCTATCATTGATAAAATACTTTCTATTCATCTATTCATATATATTTCAAATGCATATTTTTAAACTTGTAGTGGATGATACTTCGCATGAATGCATTCATATGCTCATATGTATCATGCATTATCACGTGTGCTTGTGAATTATTCATATACATGCATTAATACATGCACAGACGAGAAAATAATAATACAGTTCTTTTTATTCAATTTCTACCCCATTAGTTCCCTCTCTCCCCATATATATATATATATATATATATATATATATATATATATATATATATATATATATATATATATATATATATATATCTTGTTCAAATTTTCGACCGTTAATAAAATACTTTCTATTCAACCATTCGTGTTCAAATACATTTTTTAAACTTGTAGTGGGTGACACATGATGTTAATACAGTTTTTTCAAATATTAATTCATTAATTAAATTAAAAATGAATAAATAGGAACAAACAAAAATAATAGTTCAATAGCATATATAAAAAGGAAAATTATTCGTTGTGTACCTGTAGCGCAATGGATACCGCGTTAAACATTTAATTCAAATGTCGTGGGTTCGAGTCCCACCTGGAATGGCCTAATTTCTGAGATTGTGGTTTCTCTTTTACTGTACTATTTTATTAGAGAAATTAAATTTAATGAATGAATAAATATTGCCAAACAAAAAAAGTCCCACTTCATGCGTAGCCACCCACCAGGTATAGTAGTTAGTGACGTTGACTGCGGTGCCGTAGGTTCTGGGTTCGAATCCCGGCGAAGACATGGATGTTTGTATTGCAATCCCCTTCATGACTTTAAATTCCTTCTTTCCTCTATATTGCGTGCTTCAGGCTTACTTTTGTAAGCTCCCATGTGATACTTTGTGGTGTACGGGGATTTATAAATGTTCTCAATACAAAAAAATAAGAAACACCATATATAAAATGGAAAATCGCTTTCTATTTTGTCTCTTAATATTGTGATCCTGTCATATGTACAGTCGGACCTCTGTATAATGAAGTCGCTAAATCCCGAAAAAAGTTCAATATGTGAGAAATTCGTTATTAAGAGGTTCATCTTTCAATTTTCTTTATAAACCACATAAAACAAATTTTAAATTCATAAACACTGTATATTTAAAAAAAGTAATTACTTACACCTTTTTGTAAATTAATATATATTTATTTAATATATCTTACCTATTAAAAAAATGAAGGAAAAACTACAAGAAAGGTTTCTTTACGCCTCCTGAAAAATTAAGTTTTTTCTTTGATGTTCAAGCACTTACGTTTTCACATTTTTGAGCTACATGAAATGAAGTTACTAGTGTGACTGATCAATACTACGAATGAATGGAAACTAGTTCAAGGACACGAGACTTCACTGAGAATGAAAAGGGATATCGAAGTTGTTTCCGGTGGACTGGATATTGGGTGTTAAAGGTTGTATTTCTTGGATGAAACGCCCTGAATTCTATTCCTCTCGGTGAGTTAGGCATCTAATAAAACCAGTTCAAGATTTATGACCACTATAAAGTGTGTTAAAAGAGGGAATAACTTGAAATTCCCAGAAATACTTTAAAAATAATGAGAAAAAAATTGAATCACAAGAGGAAAAAGTTCGTCATATAGAAAATGCATTTCGCTATTGGGAGGTTATTTTACGTAGAAAATCGTGCAATGTTCTTGGTTCCAGGAAAAAGTTCGCTTTATAGAAAAATTCGCAATATAGAGATTCGTACTATGGAGGTTCGACTGTATATACATATTTATATTAATTGTAACTATCAATAAAAAGTAGCTAAAATAAAATATTTGTTTGTTGACCAAAGTAGGAATTGACTTAATAATTTTTTTTATATTACTTGTTCAAATCATCTGACAAAAGCTCTTTTTACTTGAGAAATTTCATTTTGTTCAATTTACATCATTCCCGAACAGGAACAATACGTGGAATAAATAATTAATTTTGTAAGTTTGTAAAAATCATACGAATTTTCTAGTCACTCATATTTGAATAAACTTCGAAATTGATGTTAATACGAACCATCGCCAGTTACAAACTAGATCAATTATAGGAATTAAATGAAATTTTAAAAATGATACAGCGCCATAGAGAAAATTTCCCTAATAAACCTTTTCACTACCTATTTTCATCCTAATAAAGTATCATCCTAAGTTTCTTTTCAGTTTCTTCATAGCATTTCGTAAAAATCATGTTAATTATGAAATTGTTCTCTTTTATATGGTGTTATAAAAACTGAAAACTTAATGCGTTTTCTATAATTGCATGTACACAATAAGATTTTTTAAAGAAATACAGTGATGCACATAAAAAATATGAATACAAAAAATTTAATATTCAGCTTTAGACAATATTTACATTAAAAAAAATACTTCAAGTGCTGGAACTCAACAAAAGTATTTTTACTAAATAATTTTTTAAATAAAAGAAATAAACGTAATTGTTTTCCAGAAAGTCTTGTAAAAAAGTAACAAGATTCTATTAATTTTCAGATGCCCTCTAACCGGGCTTCTCGTTCATATTTTAAATATTTAATTAAGATCTTCTGAATAGAAAGTGTAATTTAAATATGTACTTTTTTAAAAATTCAAAAGATTTCGGTGATAAAAATATTAATTTTTACTTCTATATCCAGGAGATTTTCGACCAATATTTTAAAGCCCAAGATTGAAACAACCAGTGCCATCTAGTGAAATTATTTGTAGTCATTCTCTTTTCGCTCATTCGCCATTTCTCATTAAATAACGGTACACATATACACCAAAAATAAGAAAACAAATTGCTTAGAAACTATTTTGAATTTCAGTATAATATCTGAAAACAAATTAAAAAATTATTAATAAAAAATGACCAAATTCTTCCAGCAATATATAACTGAAAACTCATAAAAAACCCTCAAGTTTACATAAATAGCATTTGATTCGTAATTGGTTACTTAAAAACAATATATCGTTAAATATACCTTAAGTTTTTTTTCATTTTATCTGAATTTGAAAACATTTAATTTATGAAAGAAGTTCTTTGCTTTTTTATGAAATATTTGAAAGTCTTAAGCACCAGGATTCTGAAGGAAATAAAACATTTGGATTAAAATTTTAGCTATTATTCTTATTAAACTATAAGAATAATTTACTTAATTGCTATTTTTTTTCTAATTGATAAACTATAAAAACAGGAAAAATAAGCTGACAAAAATAACAAAATAATACCTTCATTTACAATTTATCTCTATGTTTTATAAAACTACAATAAACATTTTATAACCTATTTTTAAAAACCAAAATCCTTTTTTTTTATTATATATATATATATGAACATTACTACTTGATGTTTTCTGGATTAGATACAATCAAAATATTTTCCGAATTTTTTAAAAATCTATTTATTTAAATAATTTTTTTTCAAACAAGGATTAAACAGATATATTTTATAAAAAACTAAGATTATCTTTCAAAAAAGCTTCTTATCTGTTTTTGATGTTAGAAGTATTTGCAACTAGGATCAAAAGAAAGAGCTAATTTTTATGTCACATTATAATTAATGCATTTCATTATTTATGTGCTGTCGAATGTCATCAAATACTTTAATTATTGAAATTGTAACGTTATATATATGTTACGGTTGTTTTCGATTAAGAGGACACAGTACGATTCAATTGACAAAAATCGGTCAAAAAATCAAACCTAATTTTTCTAGCCTAAATTATTCTTTATAAACTTTTCTATAACCTCAAAAATTTGAAAATTCTAAACTTAAAAAACGCAGAATTATGATAGCTTTTACATTCATTTTTATTCACATCCCTATGACAAATCAAAACTTTAAATTTACTTATCTCAGAAAGGTAAAATAACTAGTTTGCCTTCATTTATAATGCTAAAGCTTTTTTTCTAATGTGCCTAATGCTTTGAATTTTTTTAACCTATTGTTAATAGTACATGTAACAAAAGTTGGTATGTATTTTTGGATCAAAACAGTACTTATTTTTTAAAAAATAATTGAAGTTAGAATTCGCAAATTTTTTAAGGAATTTTCAATAAGGATTCATAAAAAGAAGTATTGTAGAAATACCAATCGTGTTATCACAAAACCCAAACCAACTTTTGTTAAACATAGTGGGACGTACTTGTAAATCAAATTTCATACGTGTACGTAAATTTTTGTAGGGGAGGAGTAGCATTTTTTAAAATCACTTCACAAATTTTAAGTTTTTTTCTTTAAAAAATTAAATGGCTAACTTTTTATGAAACTTTGAGCTCAAAATCTGTTTTACATAGTATACACACATAGAAGGCAACCAAAAAAAATTGAAAATCCTTAAATTAAAATTTTTTGCTTAAATCGTACCGTGTCCCCTTAATTTTAATGAATAGGACCCGAATTTGGAACATTTTTTTCAGTTATAAAAGAAATGACAAATTAATATGATATTCTGGCTTCACTATCCTTTAAAGAGCAGTTTTTTTATCACACTTCCTGTTTTTAACCGAGTTGATTCATTTTTTCTGGTATAAAATGCGTTTCGTTTTTTTTTCTCCTATGTCGTAATGTTAAATGGGCTACACCTTCACGTATTAAAACGAAAAAGAAAATATTCATGGAATATTTTTAAATTTTTAAAACATTATATTGTTGACAGAGGTAGGAGCTAAAATATTGCAAATTTCCATGGAAATTGAGGCATTTTTCTGTCTGATAATGTGCTTTGGGTTTAGTTCAAGCTCTCGTGCTTTTACCGAAAACAGCCTTAAGCATTGAATATGTTATTCTATAAAATAGCTACATATTTTATGAAATAACTAACCATGTCAAGTTATATAAAATCCTTGGATTGTATGCTTTAACTAGTTATATAGAATAATGGTTGCTTAAAGTATAAATATGGCAGGTTGCGTTTTGAATAAAAATTTGGAAATATTTTTTAGCATGTGTTCTTAGCTTATTAACCACATAATTTATGCGACCAGAAGTTTTAAAGATTTAAATAGGTATAACTATTTCCGCCATTTTCTTATTACTGTTTTTAACTAATACAGCAAAAATATTACATTATATATTCTGTTTTTCGTTATTATTCACATCAATCAATCTATACATAATATGAAATGGAATTTTTAAGACACTTTTAACTATGTTTGTCATCGTTTAATTTATAACATGACTTTTTCATATATAGTGTTTATTAATTTAAATTTTGTTTTACGTGATTTATAAAGTATATTAAAAGATGAACCTCTATATAACGAACTTTTTTTCCGGGATTTAGCGACATCGTTATATAGAGGACCAACTGTATAATGCTAAATGAAACAGAAGAATAATTTGTCTGACATGTTTTGCTGAAATATTTAATATACTGTATAACAAACATCAAAACTTTTGTAAAATTTTCTAGCACTATACATAAAAAAAACATTTTATCAAATACCTCTATTCTAATAAATAATCTGAGACACATGCCTTCTCTCTTAAATACAAAAAACAAGGAAGAAAAGGAACTAAAAGGCATGAAAATATTGGCTTAGTAAGGAAATTCCTTTTCAAATTTGTCTAGTCATAGATAGGCAATACA